AGGTCGTGGGGCGCCATCAAATTATATTATTATTATTTTTTTTTTTTTTTTTTTTGAACTCTGCGAGAATTTAGAGAAACAAAATTATACAGAAGTTATGGGGTCCGAGTTTGATATTTGTTAAAGTACAAGTCCTTTCCTGCAATTTGTTAGTCACCTACTCTACAATTAAATTTCTATGAATTAATACAGTCGGAACTGACAAAATTCTATTAATTTTTTAGAAATATTAAATTATCGAGATAACAATTTACTACGTTTTCACCGAGTCGGGACCGTAAGAAATTATTATTTAAACGAAGTTATTAATTTATCGAAGTTCTATTGTATTTCCATTTTTTTATTTATGAAAAAGAATTTGCTTCTCAAAGCAAGAAGATAATTGCAATGTTTGAATTCATTTTCGGAGTTATTTTTATTTTATTTTGGAGAAATATGTTTTGACGGAATAATTGAAAAAAAAATGAATTTGTCGAGTTCGATCAAATGAATTTGGATTGCTAGGTGTTCGCGAAAAACCCACACGCACTGTACGTATAGTAACAAATAGTAATAGTGAACTCCTAAGAATCGGATGCAGAACACACAGAAAATAATTAAGCTCCCTAATCCGAAGTACCAAGTTCGTGAAATTTACGATTATTTATATATCCAGCCAAATCATTTGGTATTGATTATTAACACTAAAATTACAGAATTAGCTAACAAAATAGATTATACACAAAGGGTATCAACTAAAAACAAACTTAATTAGGAGTTTGTCTAACCTATGTGTTTATTGATCACCCAAAACCCCTCACATTACATCCAAATAATTTTGATTATTAACCTGAAATTCTTCATTACCTATAAATCGCTTATGCGCAAATTACAATACTAATATTCTAAATCAAATTATTGTATTACTTCGCAATTCAACTAATAATAAAACATTAAGCACAAATCTTAATTTTGATTACCAAAAATTCGCAAAAGCTAATTATAAAATGTCTAAATTAAGGGATTTGTTACAAATAAAAACCTAAATCTAAAACTTTAATTGAGAAATAAAATTAGTATTCTTAATTATCTCTAGTTATGCAACCTAACCTAGTGAGATTATTCAGAGTGAAAATACTTCATATAAATAAATATTGTTTTATGAATACAAACCAATTATTGACAATTAATTAAAAGATGTGTTTCCTTCACCTTATCGCTCTCTTTCATTTTTACGTAATCAATCGAAGAGCAAAAATGGTTCGACCTAGCTAAAATAGACAATATCATATCAATGTGAAATGTGAAGATCGTGTTATGTCTCTATGGGCCCCGGCCAAACATTTGTATGAAAATAATTTTAAAGAGCTTTAATAATTATATTTTCAAAATAATCTCTTAATTTGTGTTATTTTGATTTTAAGTAAAAAAAAAGAAAGAATATTTAATTTACCTATAATAATTAATATCTATGTTATTTCCTAAAAATGTAGTCTAGTTTATATTCAAGTACTGGCTCCACTAATAGTCTAATATATAAAGTATATATAAACACATGACACAAACATGTATAAATACATATTATATATATATATGTATATTTTGCATATATTGTTGGTGGTTTTCAATTTTCATGTATGCATGCCATGCACGTATCTTTAATTTTGTACACAAATGATGATGTAATAGACTTATAATATATAGAAACAACATCCTTAAATTAATCAACACAAAAGAAATATATATATCTCAATACACATGTATACGCGCGTATCTATGTTTTCTTGCTTTTTTTCTTCCTCAAACACATGATTTAATGATTATGACAACTAAAAAAAAAACCCCAAAAAGTTGTATATATATAAAATAATAAAATATTATACAGACAAGTGGCACATCGGGTCAGAAGACGATGATGACAACGATGATGATGACGGTCCAGCAAAGTTCCAAAGCCCCGTCTCGCAAGTCCTCGAACCATCATGACGGTCATCATTCGCTCTATCATCCGAACCACCATGCATCATATCGTGATTCATGATCAACGGTTCTCCATCATCGTCGTGGAATGAGAATTCCCCGTTGATGATGTCATCTTCGCCGTACCCGAAAAGTTGGTTAGGTGGCGGTGGTTGGCCGTTTAGCTGGGACGCCACTAGCCGGTCCATCGAGACCCAGTCACTATTTTGGTGGCGGTCGGAAAAAATAGGCATCATCATATGATGATGATCTTCACCGATGTAGCTCGCGAGTGATGATGATGATGGCGGTTGATTAATATTATTGTTATTGTTATTGTTATTGTTGCTGATGGTGGTGGTGGTGGGGTTAATATCCATTAATCCGGGGAGGTGGTGGTGGTGGTGGATAAAATTACCTGCGGGTGACGATTGATTTGGGGATCGGAAATGGGCGGTGTTTATTAATGATTCGTTCTCTTGCTTGCAAGAAGATGGCGACGGTGATCTCGCCATGTACATGAGTAGGTGATCGAGTACGCCGCCTTCGTTTCTTGGGAGGTTATTATTATTATTTGAGAGGGATGATGTCATCATGAGAGGGCTTTCTAGTGCCTTGTGGTAGTTTTTCTTCTTGAAAACTCGGCATACGACCCATCCTTCTTCCGCGCCGAGCGAGGACGAATCTCCGAGAATCGTTGAAGAAACCTATTTCAAACAAAATTCAAATTAATTAGTGATATGTTTTGTTAGCTAGTGACATATAATGTACTATAGCACATGGGATTTGTGTTTGATTTGATGAAAAGATTTCTAAATGCAATTATGATGAAAATTCATGTTATTCTTATTTATTATCATAAATTCATCCATACTCGAAACACGACGAACAAAAGATTGCGACTCGTATTATTTATTTGTGTTTATGTTTTTTTTTAGTTGAAATGTCACAAAAAGTACATAATGAGTACTATGGGTATAATCAGCTAAGATACCCCGGGTTGCGTGTCAATTTTTAGTTGGTCAAGGGGCATATTTGGTGAAGGGACATTTGAACATAAACCACACAAAAATAAAAAATAAAAATTTAATTTAGATTAGATAAAATTACTAGAGTAATTATCTTAGTAATTCTAAAAAAAATTAAAATGTGAAGAAAAAAAAAAAGAATAATGAGAGAATATTACATTATTATTAGTGGATGAGTCGTCGTCGAGCCGGTATTCGTGCATGATCCAGTCCGATTTCTGTCCATGCGGTGCTCGCCCTCGGTAGAAAACGAGCGTCTTCCTCATTCCAATCCTCCTCAGGTTGCTATGTATCACTTTATCCCGGCCGGTCGCCTTCCAGAACCCGGCCGCCGTGGCCCGGTTCGTCCGAGTGCCCGTCGGATATTTCTTGTCCTTGTGGCTGAAAAAGTACCAGTCGTTCTGCGGCGCCGACCCTATCTTGCACGTCTCTGCACGTGCAACGCATTATTTAAATTAGACTCTATATATTCAATTCACACACAATAATAAAAAAAAAAATGTATTATTTTTTTGTTACCTTGAATGTCCCAAGGCTCGAGTTTGTTGAGGTCGACGTCGCGGATGACGTCGAGGTCGATTTTCTGGGACGCGACTTTCTTGGTGAGGTAGTAGTGGAGGAGCTCCTCCTCCGTGGGGTGGAAGCGGAATCCCGGCGGGACTTTAGAATGTCCGTTAACGGACAAGTTCATATCTTCCGGCATTGATTAATTAATCGTGTTTATTAGTGTTTTTTTTTTTTTTGTTTCTTCACCTTTGAGTGTGTGTGTGTGAAAAATGAGAAATGAGTGTTGGAGGAGATGATGAATTTATATGAAGGAAATGAATAAATGTGTGCATGGAAAAGTGAGATGGTAAAAGGAGGATTTGTTGTTTATTTAACAATAATACCAACCACCTAAAAATGAATAAGAGGGAGTGTGGGCCTAATATAATAGGTTATTATAGGTAGGCATATATTGCAGCCCCACTTCTTTTGGACTTGTGACACCCGACCTTAAAATCTCCAACAAAAGCTCCCTCTAAACCACTTCCCCATGCTCTCTCTCTCTCTCTCTCTCCTCTCTCTCTCTCTCACACACACACACACTTACACATTTTGAAAGAAATTAGATAATTTGAAACCACAATATACACGTGTCTGAGTGTAAAATTAAGTAGTTGATGGAGCCAATAATTTCAATCAGGGTGGGCTAGAAATATACTTTCAAGAGCAAGGTCTACGATTTTTTTTTTTTTTAATTCCTTTTAATTGAAAATAGCGTAAAATAAATATGTGTTTCTAATATTTAATTAAACTAGCATAAAGTAAACTCTTTAAAGTTATATGATCATGTAAATTACTTACAATTGACTATGTATACGACTTACAAATTGCAGTTGTGAAAATACTCAATAATTGATTCGATTAAATGCTATTAATTGGATTGGCTAACTAAGCAATTTAATGTTATACTATGTAAAAAAATAGAACGAGAGTGAGCTGGAGTCCGCCCAGTGCTAAAGGTAGCTCCCGGGGTGTGTAAATTTGTTCGTATTCTAGCTCGCGAGCTCAAACTTTTTGACTAGCCGAAATCAAGCTTATCCATCCTTGTTCTTAAGCTCGTGAGTCTGTTTGCGAGTTTTTTTTAAATATAATTTAATTTATTTTTATTATAAGTATAATTAATGCATATAAATAACATAAAATGTAATAGTAAAATTCATATAAATAATCCAAAAAAAAATCACATTTCATCTTTTTATTTGGTATTTTTTTATCATAATTTTATAATAATAGTAATAAAAACTAAAAGAAATACACAAAATGAGCTTATGCTATAGCTCAAGCTCGACCAACTCAACTGTGCTCGAGCACAAAATATAAAACTCAATGAAATTGAGTTGGTCCAATTGGACTCCAGCTCGATCTCGAGCTCGCCAAAACAAACCGATTCAACTTGTTTACATCCTAGGTAGCTCAACCCATGTACGCATGTATGATTAAATTCAGTAGGTATATACTTTCAATTGCTGCATTTTGCACGTGCAGCCAATCATAATTCGTAACGACAAGAGGGCCGACAAGGAAAATAAAGATAATTGGGTCCAGGGGCTATGGCTTTTAATTTTTATGGGAAAAAAGAATAATACCAAATTTCACACAAAATTGCTCGTATTGTATTTGTACTTTGATTTGCCCTTGCCTCCGATCCTTAGTGATAATGTTTTTATTTTCAAACTAATTATTTTGGCCTTTGAAACTTTTTCTCCTTTTGCTGTCGTACGTCGTCGTCATATGTTGTCTCGCCCAAAGAGTCGGGCCCTTTTGAAGTTGTCGTGAATCGGTATATTTTAAACGAATTTTTTTATCGGGCTTGATATTTTATCGATATGGACCATTAATTAATCTTTTGATTGAGATGATCATTTAACAGATATATTGGCGAAGAGCGTGTTTTTTTATATCAATAAGATGCTAAAAGTTGAAATAATGAATGTTGTAGATCAACGATCGCGATTAAGTAATTGTTTCTCGTGCAGAGATCATCTAAGGGCGTAAACTGCCAATTGACCAAAGTAGTTTTCAGAATTCAATTTCTTTTGTGATCAATCGGAGGAAATCGATTAATTCCCATTAATATACTGCGAGGAATTGCTGCATCCGTATCACCAGAACATGTATAGTAAAGTAGAGACTATACGTATAAATAAATTGCGCACGTTGAAAACAAAATTTTATGATATATATGAAGGAACCCAAATTAGTGTTACCAAATTGGATGTCATAACTAGAAATAACTCATAACTGTATATACATAGAAATAAATACATTAATGTGTTGATAATTGATCGGTACAATAAGAAGTAAATAATTATATCTTATATCTTCTTCATTTTTTCTTCTTTTTTTTTTTAAATTTTTTTAAGGAAATTAAAGTTGTATATATCTTAATCTAAGAGGCCTATTTATTCAAAAGTAATGATGGGTAATGGTATAATTACCAGATTGTTCATAATAACAAGATGATGACCTTCGGACAACTAATTAAAAATGGTTAGAGATACACAGAGATAAACAAAACCCAACTTTAAGATTGAGGGTATAGAAGAAATAGATTGGGATAGGCTAACTAGATGATGGGATTAATTAGTTGGTAAGATTGTTAATTTTGTCTTGACATTTTTTTCTTTTTTTCATTACCACAACAAGTCTTTCTAGGTCTTCATCAATATCATTGTGTCATTTATTTATTTAATTTACCCTTTTTTTTTTCCTTATGTTAGCTCATGCGTCTAATTAATGGTTAAAGATCAATTAAAAGTTCATAAATTCGCCATTTTTTTTATGTACCATGGTGAAACTATAAATGTGTTGTTTTTAAATGGTTATTACAACACGCGCTCGATGAACACAGCCCCACCTGTGTAGTACGGACACGGAAATAGTGATATGAGAAAACGGCATGTTCCGAAAATGGGGATATAGAAGCTTAAAGGAAACGTGTAAATATTAAAAATATAGGGGTATATTTATAAATATGTTATATAAACACATAAGTTTTTATTTTTATATAAACTATTTTTATATATTTTCACACAAACATATTCATAATATATTTCACTACGAACTATCAATTTGCGATTGATCGGTAAATCATGTAAATAATTAGGAAACTGAAGAAAAAAAATTGAAATTTTTTGCTATTCAAACATGTCATTAACTTTTGACAAATTGCAAAATGGCCCATAAAGTGTTCGGCAGGTGTCATCGAGTATCGGACACAAAACGTGTCTGAAACGTTTAAAAATTTGATTCGCAGCATTTAAGTGGCATCGGCTGTTGTGCTGAGTTGACGGCCTTCCTGATTATTATTATTTAAAAAAACAACTTGACTTAATACAATTAATAATAAATTTATGGGGGGTAAGTGTAGGTGAATGCACATTAGAGACATATAATGATGATGGTTATTCAATAACGAAAATAACATCACTAATGCATAAAAGAAAGGTAAAATGCCGTTATGAGGTCATTGGCTCCTTTCTTAATATAATGATTATTTTTCTTATCTTTAAAATTTCATAAATTCAATTATGAATTTAGCCAACAATTGACGAACCAACCACTCCCATCTTCACTAACCAGCACCACCACTCGGTGCCCCTTTCTTTCTTCTTTCTTCTTTCTTCCCTTCATTTTTTAATTGCATTCTATTTACTATTTACTATTTACTATTTACTATTTACTTTTATTTTTATTATTATTTTAATTTATCACCTAGTGACTACATTAATTTCTCCCATATGTTTCATTTGATTTTTGCCCCACCCTCATCACCAAAAAATAAAAGAAAAAACAATTGTCTTTTAGTTTTTTTTTTTTTTTTTTTTTTGATGAAATTTTCGGGTGATACGACTTTTTACAATTATTTTCTAAAAGGTATTTTAATTTCTCACAAACATCATAATCATTATTATGAATACACATAGAAATAAAAGCAAGCATACGTTCTTCGATATATTTTCTCGAAATATATTCTCTAGACGTTTCACATCGAACATCCTGGAAAAAAGTTCTAAGTCATCGATCCAATAATGTTTTTGAGTTTACTAATCAAGAAATTGACATAAAATTGTCATAAGATTTTTAAATTTGTCATCGAATTTTCTAACTCTTGCTATCCACAATTTTAAGTTTTCTTCATTTTAATTTCAATGTTTTTATTTATCATTAATTTCTAAAAAAAAATAGATTGGAATTCAAATTGTATATGAGATCTCAGTATCTTATCCAATTTAACTTTTTTCGATCTTTTTTTCTCAAAAGTCACGTTTATATAAAACACCAATGTACTTATATACATAACTTTATATTATAAATGGAGCATCAATATTTCGTTAGTGTCGCAAAATTTTAGATGGTTGGGGTCTTTACGTCGTCTCGATAGCTACACAATCACATATTTTACAGTCGTTATACTGATACATGTTCAACCTTTTTTGTTTTATCAATGTTATACATGCTTTATTTTCAACTAATCTGTATGGCTTTTAATTCTTTTTTTAATTATTCAGGAAAGGAAAAAAAAATTTAAATCCCATCATTTTGACACCTAATAACAATTTATTCGACAAAAAAAAAACCCTAAAATCCCGTTATTTTGACACGTAATAACAATTTATTCGAACACCAATTATGAATAGAGTAATCAATCCATCCTACTAGAAGAAGAGTTAATCCAAAAAAAAGAAGTGAATTCTCACTCAAGGCATTATATATTGTAGCGTCTGACGTCACTATAATTGCCTAATTGAGCATGTAAGGAGATGCTGACGTGGGGTGACGGCATACCATACATAAATAGTAAAATCAAACTAATTAAATATGAATTTGGTGTTCAAAAAATGAAATAAATTTTAATTAATGGATTTAATGTAGTAATTTGCATGAGAAGCAACCTCCAAAAATTCAACGCCTAATATCACTATTTCATCATCCCCCATTTCTACCTCTTATAGTTGTCGTGGACACATCAACTCTCTGGTTTTTTATGTGAATTTACTATTTTGCCCTCCAAAAAGAAAACAAACAAATAAAACTTTATTATGTATTCTCAATTCCATATATCATCATAATGCCATATTGAATCATAGAGAATTTCATTTTCAAGGCCTATTTTTGTTAGTAATTTCTAGTTCAAAACATTCTATTTTCATATTCTTGGTTGCGGGGGAATACACACACTACAAAA